ATGGATTTTAATGTTTGCTTTTTTAAAATTGTTTTTAGTGAATCTGAAGTGGGCATGCATATATATATATATATATATATATATATATATATATATATCACTTTATTTGAGTAGACATCCAATTTATTAAATAGTATTTTATTTTTGTCTTTCACTCTGAATATCCAAGAAATCTTAGCAAAGAAAATGTGCTCACCAGCAGGATTTGAACCTACATCCCCATCTTACAAAAGAAACTGTATTTTTAACCAAGTTGGCTACAAAGTGGATCGTGATTAAGCAATGTTCTATGTTTAGATCCCCGAAAGTTCATGGCTGTTCTCTTTCATACCTGATACATGAACACAGCAATTTTTAAAGAAATAATAGATTTTTATTTATGAATCCAACATATCACTTCAAATGTTATTTTTAATAGATACACATGTTTTAGTAGTTGCTCTGTTTATTTTAAACCATTTTTATTTTATTTTGTTTATTGGTATATTCAAGGAATCTTATTAAAGAAAATGTGCTCTCTGGAAATCTAAATGAGAAAGATGTACTTAAAAGGCAATATAGAACCTGGCTGAATCACAATGCTCTTTATAGCTGAATCGGTGAAAGCATGTCAGATTTAACTGAAAAGTGGGGTGCAGGTTCAAATCTAGCCGGAAAGTAAACTTTTCTTTAATAAGATTTCATTTGCTTTAATAAGAAATCTTTGAATATTTAGGCCAGTAGACAAAATAAAATAAATGGAGCATTTACTCAAATCTGAGTATACACTAAAAATAATGATTAAAGTGTTAAAAATATGTTGTATTAATAAATAGAAATTTGTCATTACTTATATATAATAAGTATATACTTATAAGTGTTCCTCTTTGAAGCTTTCTTTATCTCTGTAATTTTATGTGCACTGCTAATTTCTCAAGTGATGTCATTAAATTGTGTGTTTGTTAAGACTATGTATGAGGGTTGGCTGAAAAAGACCAAGATATAGATATAAGTAAACACACGAGTATTCTGGTACACTTATGTCTTTTAGTCTACTAACTAGTGTATCATATCTTGGTCAGCCTATGAACCTTCCAGCTGACCCTCATATAGTGTTACCAGGATGAAAAGCAACAGGTACCAAAAAGAAGCATTTTTGGTCATTAAACAAATAAGACTTGCTTTAGTAAATTTGTATATGATGATAATAGATGAAGGCCTTGAAGTGCTAGTAATTGGTAGAAAATCAAAAAAAGAAAAATGGTCAAATCAAAAATGCACTGAGAAATGACCATTGACAGTTGATTCATGATTCTTCTTTGACAAATTGATCCATTGTACTTCTGAGATGATGATATCACTGAATAAAACAATTTCTATATACACCCCTCCTCATTTGCTTGCATTTAATATTAGGCTAGTTACAAGTATTAGTAGTCTAGAGTATCTGGTTAAGCATTAGTTTCTTAGATACTGAAACTTTACATGTAAAAAAATTTTTTGAGACATTTTTTGGCAGGGGTGGTTGGGGTTTTATAATTGCTATAAATTATGGTTTTTATCTCTTTAATCTTTACTAATACCAAGCAGATTAGCTTAGTATGGCTCAAGTTTGAAAAAGAAAGCTATAACATATCAATTCAGCATTAAATCTTCTTCAAAGTAGTCCCCTTCTGAAGTCACATTTTATCCAGCATTGTTTCCATTGATGGAAGCATTCCTGGAACTACTTTTTGTTATGAGAGCAAGTAGCTGCTTCTTTACATTCTGTTAGATTTCTTTGATGTCTTGAAATCTTGTCCAAGTGGGATATCAAATCTCTTTTGAAGAGGAAATGTCTGAGAAATAAGGTGGGTTGTTGGTCTTGGAGAATGTTGTGTTTGGCCAAAAACTTCTACACAAGCCATGTTCACTGATGGCATCTCTCTGGTGTGGTGAGACGACCACACTCTACACACTTTCTTTCCAAGCACTTCTATAAATAACAGAAGTGAGCGAGAATGCTATAAAACGTTCTAGATTTTACTTGACTTGCTTTTATTTTTCATTAGGTTGGAGCAGCAACTTGTATTTATATTCAAACGTTTTGCTTTCAGGAAATATTTTTTTATGTTTGAAAATACAGATGAAATTTTTAAGGCACTGCCTATTATTTTTGTTAGCAATCAGTAACTGCAAAGTTTTAAGGAAAATACAAGCAAAGAAAAAAAAAAGGACAATCTCCTCACAGATGAAGAACAGACTCAAGGCAACAGAAATGTGGTTCTACAAAAGGATGCTGACAATACCATGGACTGAACATGTGATCAATGAAGAAGTTTACAGGAAAATGCAAACAAAAACTTAGAATCAGAAAGAGAGTTGAAATTTCTAGGACAGTTAGAGGAAAGAGGGCTTGGAAAATTCAACTTCTACAAGACATGTTGTAGACGAGAAGAATAGAGGGAAACAGTGAATAACCTACAATTTTGTGTAAATGATTTCGAGGAATAGCAGAGAGATAACAAGAGGTTGTGGAGAGCTATGATTGACGGTGTCCTGAAGAGACCTGATACATAAAAGAAAAAGTAGGCTTATCAACTGCTTTGAGGTTATTTAAAGCTGAAATATATTTTTGGATTGAAAGAATTTATTGGAGATAATAATGATTTACTAATACTTAACCCATAGTTGGGAGGAGAAGAATGTAAGTGAATATAACGAACCTGACTGGAATTTCATCTCGGCTCTTGGATTTCTAATGCCTAGGCTTTATCATTACACCACCTGCACATTCAAGTTTACTACACCTGGTATTTCTGAATGGTCACTGATCTAGGCACTGACCAAGTTCAACATTGCTTACCTTTGGTGATTGGATGAGAACTGGTGTTTCAATATGATATGAAAGAGGAGGTGAGAATTTTGGCTCATTTTCTTGCTAAGATAAGGTTTCAAAAAGATGGGATTTTGGCAGACAATGGTAATTTATAAATAACAAACTAACTTGAGAAATAAAAACAATATGTCAACTACTTCAACTTGAAAAGAATATTTCCAAGAAGATCAATATAGTGTTGTGTATATAATAAGTGATGGTTTTGTATGTAAGGTCATCTAGTTTGAAGGCATGAAGGACCATAGATTGATTTAACAAAAACTGAAAGTTCAAAGGTGAAAATAACTTAATATATACAATAGCACACATACATATAAATACATTCTGAGGGTTTAATAATCACTGTATATGGTTAGAAGAGAAGAAAAGATTATAGAGCTCTCTTGAAAATGTTACAGCTTCTATCAAAATGGGAGTATTTAAACTAACAAAATTATTATGGTTCAACTCCAAATTATTACATAACAGCAAAAGAAAAAAAAATTATTGCCCTGTGATAATTTTTCATATTGTTATTTTTTGTTTCCGGATTCTTTTAAAGTTATTTTTAGTTATTAATTTATCTGCTTCTTTTTTTTTCTTCTTGTAGGAACATAGATTTCTGAAATATATATAGATATTTATTTATCATATTTTTCAGATATTCTTTAATAGCAAACAAACGAATGAAAAAAAAGTTAAATATTTGTTCCCTTTCCCTCATCTCATCCCTGATTCAAATATATTTTTTTTAATTTTCTCTTTTGTAAGGCTTCAATCGGAATGAAGAAAAAATATATTCTTATATATAGTTATATACACATATATTCCATGCTTTGTATTTTGGGTTTTAATATCCTATTAGGATGGGGGGGGGGTAATTAATTATGTTAGGACAGAATTCTGCTTGACTTTTTTTTCAGAATATATAAATAATATTTTTTTTTTTTTCCACAAGTCAACCTTAGATGAAATATAATAAAATTCCAGTTAAATTAATTTTTTATTTTTCAATCTTTAAAAACTGTATTTTATTTATTTAGTAATATGTCTTTTCTATTTTAAAAATTTGTTCATTTTTTTTCTTTATTTTGTAGTTTATTTTTTTCATATAGCAAGGAAAAAAAAACAAAAAAAAACTGTGACACAATTTTTTATTCTGTCTTGTTTTAGTTTTAATTTCATACCTTCAATCAATTTGTTGAATTTGAAACTCATTTCTTCACATTTTTAGAATCATTTTAAATTAATCCCCTTAACTGCAGAAAACAGGAATTTCCATTCTCCCTCAAATCATCAATTTCAATTTTTTTTCTCTTAAAAAGTCCTGTAATTTGATTGGCACATAAGAGCCCTACCCCCATGGCACCTTGGTATGAACATTAGTTTACTAGATACCACAACTTTGACAAGTAAGATGTGGCAGATATTTTTCCTTTTTAGACATTATTTTTCTTTTTTCTTTTTTAACAAGGTTGATATATACCAATAAATATGGTGGCGTTTTATTCTAAATTATAAATGTGTGAAATCATGTCTCGGGCTTTCACAATCAGTTATAAAACCAGTATCCAAACAAACAGGTACCTGAAAAGGTTTCTTGAAGCATGATACAATATGGAAAAGTCACTAAAAATGCTCTTTTGATGAACTTACCAAATCATAACTTATTTGATTAAAATCTGTTTTTGGTTGTTGATTGCAATGGGAAAAAAAATTAAGCTTTGTGATTTTTGAGAAATATCAACCAGACTTTAAAATAAATGTTATTGTCCAATGAAAATAATTATTACTTTGATTCATTATTTTTTCCTTCCTCCCCAATCAAATGTAATTTTTGTGATTTTTGGAAGAAATCCTGCCATAAGTACACAAGCAAACAGTACACTTGATAATGCATCATAAGCACCGTTTTAATAAGTCTAGCAAGAGTTATCTTTCTTGCTTCATTTATTTTTATATGTTTTTTTATTTTAAAACAAATCATTCATTTATTCAAATCTTACAGAATGATTCATTGTAATAAGTGTACGAATGCTGGTGTATGTGTTTTTTTTTTTTTTTTTGTCAACCGGTAAAAAGGACATAAAAAAAATTAAAGTGTTAGAATTTTTCTCTCTTTTGGCAAAAAAAAAAAAAAATTTAAAAACAAAATTTGGAAGATTCATTCTTCTTTTTGCCTTCCCACAAAAGAGTCCATAAGATTACTGGCACCAAAGAAATTGCAGATTACGGCCAAACATTTGGTTGGTAGGTACCTGGATGTTAAAAAGAAAAAAAATTGAAAAAGATTAATTTTGTTAATTATGAGCAAAATATCATTAAAAACTTGTGTTAAAAAGTTAATTACATTTTTAAAGGAAGAAGGACATCTAGAAAAAAAAAATAATGATGAAAACCTGTCCAAATTTCTTTTTGATATATTTACAATAAAAAAAAGGATCAATGATCTTCAAATCTAGCAGAGGCCATAACATCCAACTTCTGCGAAGTGTTTTCTTATGAGACTGACTTGTAGCCAGATGAAAGAGCTGATAGTGGTCAGTATAATCAATGCAAGAATCACATCAGGGGCATCCTGAAGATATGTGATATCTAACCAATGTTATACTCCATTGCAATTGGATTTTTTTCTGATTCACTCTACATGTCTGCAAGATGAGAGAGCTAAAAAAGCAAAACTCAAAATAAAAAAAAAAGTCATCACTGAGCATCATATTTGGTCCATAAAAGAAATCCCCACAATAGAATACAATTGACAATCACTAATGTTCCGATCAGAAAAAAAAAAAAAGAAGACCCTGGGGACCATCAGATTTGCTTAAAAGAAAGCTCCTTGTAATGACTAACACAGTTGTGAGCTGAAAGGCCACCTGTTGGCACACGTGAGCTGTCGCCATTATCACCATGATCACTTCTTACATCAAAACAATGAGTTTGCTCAAGCTTCACTAATCTACCTGACACTTCATATAAAGAATGCAGCTGACAGGCCAGCTTTCAATACTACCAGACTCCCGATACCAACCACCATGATTTCTAACACCTCAACATCATCACTATCCAGATCCAGGTGCCCCTTGTTGTCATCACCATGTCAATATTTTATTGATACCATATTCAACCAGAATCCACTTTCACTATCCACTTTAGGAATCCCTTTTTGTTGATCTCTAATTTGACCAGAATCCAACAACTATCTTCCATTCGATCAGTGTTCACTATCTACATTTAATCCTTCATCGCCACCACTGTAACCTCAGCAACTAACATGAATATCATGAATCAATCCACCACCATGACCATGATTGACCAACCCACCTTACCAGGCAGTTCAACTTCAACATCTCAGCATCACATAACTGTCAGCCCATCAAATACGTCACAGTTGTTGATTTTAACCTTAAAGAGAGGTGTGCATCAAACCCCACCTATGACTAATCCAATCTGGATCTATCCTCTGACTCCAAGTGTGACCTTGACCAACCAACACATGGAATTGGTCAATTGCTGGCCTTATTGACACCTAATTGCTTTCTTGACCAACAGAATCACACATGAACAAGTTTTGCCAAATTTCAAATAACTATGTATATATCCTGAATTTTGACAAATACGCACTGTTAAAAATCTAATCATTGTTTATTTCTCTCCTCCTTTGCGACCAAACACTCATTAGAAAACCAATTAAAAAAAGCTAGCTGGTGACTAGGCCAGTTGGTGATATTTGCATGTGTAAGGATGCAAAGGGCAATTATTTCCCTTTGGGTGATACAAAGTCATGAGGGTCATGTGATGGCTTGTGAGTTTTCAATGGCTATTTATCATGTATACAACCAGTGTGAAAAGAGAGTACTTTCCAATGGGAAAAAGAGCAGGTTGGTGGTGTCCTTTATGTTTCCAATGAGACTAAGTGGGTTCCTCTGTTGACCCTTCTGCTGTGATGTTTATCAAGCAAGAAGTTGCTATGCAAGCAAAAGAGATGATAAACGTCATAGCAGAAAGGTTAAAATTAGTTTTCAGTTGAAAAATAATAATAATATAATATAAAAACATTTAAAAATAAATAATTTGTGTTTAAGATATACGAAATACAAGCACCATTTTCCTTTACTAGTATGACTTCTCCTAACCCAGCCTGTCACCTACACTTAATTTCCACTTCTGCTGTTGCGATAGTAGAATATGACAACACAAACATGAATTTCAAAAATATTATTGTTTGGTCATCAGTTGCCTTTTAACTGGTGAATGAAATTACTTCCAGAGTGCTAAGAATTAAGTTTCCAGTTTGAAAATAAAGGACAATAAAATCACTTAAAAATAATTGGCATTTAACACTGAGATTTACAACTCTACAAAAAATACAAACATTTTCTGTCAATATTTTAAAATTTCATGCTGCTACACTGATTGCTATTTCAAGCACATGTGATTGCCTACAAATGTAAACAAATAATAAAAATAACAACAAAAATAAGATTATTATGGTGAAACAAAAATTGTGATGCTGTGGGTGGTTTAAAAGGAATACAGTTTTGTATCCTTTCTTCAACTGTCTGGTGCTAATGGGCATAATGGCAGTGTGGGGTTGTGTAACTGATCAGCACAGAATTAGCAAACTGAGGCTGTTAGGGTCATTTCAAGCTAATGACCTTAGGAAAATTATGAATTCATTTTCATCACTAGATATCCTGACAAAAATATCTCATCACTGCCATGTCACAACAGTGCAAAATCTACTCTACCGGCCAGATAGTTATAGCTATAGAAAGTCTTCAAGAGTAATGTCAAAACAACTTAGAAAGCTAAAAGTGCCATTGACAAAGTGTGAAGGTATAAATGTAGTTTATGTTGAAAATGATTCTTTTATCTAGTGTCTGCAAAGGTAGTTGCACCCATTCTTTTGAAAAATAGAGGCTGAATTCACAGTAAAAGACTGTTTTATTTTGTATTAAAAATAATGGAAAACTTTTATGCATCAAGTTCTTTCAGGATGTTGGTGATCAGTGCTCTCCAAAACTTCCTGTCTTGTGTTCTAAGTAATTTTTAACCCTTTACTGCCAACTTTTTATTCCTTTTCTGCCATCTATTCACACAAATGTCCTTTTTCTCTTGCTTTTAATATGTCATGTGAGTGTTAAATTATCCAAGCTCTCATTCTCTGTCACCATTTGTTGGTAGGACCACATCTTTTCCTATATTTTGATACTTTGCTTATTTTACATACAACCATGTATTCCATCTTGTAGTTAATCCTTTTTTCTGGCTTTTTTTACTACCTTATCCTTCTAAGTCTGTCATCTATGGCTGTATTTTATATAGGATGTGGTTATCTCTGATTTGCTAATATTTCCTGTTTAAATTAGCTCATTTGCTGATGGCATTTAGGACTGGTGTATGCTACCCCTGAACTTTCTTAACGAGAACCCCAAGTAGTACTTTGTGACTCACTATTATCTCAACATTTACTTTTTCTGTATACATTTATAAATGCTACAAATTAAACTAAGTACAACTATTTAAGGACCAAAGATTTTTGCTGAATTTGACATCATTCTGGGATCTTTTTTTTTTTTTTTTTTATCCAAACCTGTGAATTTGTTTTGATCATGTTATATATATATATATATATATATATATATATATATAAAAAAAACTTTAAAATTTACTATCTTTTATTCTTAATATGGAATGTGTTAAAATTGTTCAACATGATTTTTGTGACAAATTTTTTGTATAACAATTTTTATAACTTGGAAATAAATTTGGGGATAATTGAAATTAATTGTGAAATCCAGTGAATGCTACCCATGAAACAAAAATAATTGTTTGTATAGAAAGTAAGGACCTACGTATATCAATCTGTCTTTAAATTAAGTGGGGGCAGAAGAATTATCATTGAACTTTTAAAAGATAAGCTTAAATATTAATGCAATACTTAAATGGAGCGATCAATTTTGAGTCTTTTTTTTGTAGTTTATTGTTGCCGATTACATTTACTTTCCACTACCTAATGGTAGGCAATTATCAAGATTAATTAGAGGGTGCTGAAAATTTCTCCCTGTTCAAAGTCTGAGTGAATGACTCAATAACTGAATTTACTTTGAAAGGTTTTATTGACTGGGTTGAGAACTTTTCAGCACTCCTCTTACTTTATTTGCCTGGAAAGTAATATGTATAAAAGTTGTTACTTTCATAATCAACTTTGATAAGAGCCAATCAGATCAGTAAATCAGCAGATGGATCATAAAACAAGGCCAGTGTATGGATGACTAGAGTTCTCAGTCAGTGCTTTGGGATCCACGCTATCGTATTAGAATTTTCATACCTTTGTTTATATACATTAAGAATTAATCTAAGCACAACTGGCTATTAAAGAATGAAAAATTTTGGTGTCATTATGAGGGTTTTTTTTTTTTGTTTAAATCCGTGAATTTGTTTTGCTTATGCAAAGTCTCATAAATCACTATATAAAATTCACTATCTTTTATTCTTAATGTGGAATGTGTTAAAATTATTCAACTTTTTAAAAAGAAAAATCTGAAGTTGATGTTAAAAATTGCCACAAAACATTGTTGAGTTATTTAAAATGGAAGGATCTCTTAAAATAAATCTCTAATTTGTATTTAGATACATTGTATTTATTTTCAAATTTTCTAGTTGAATTGTTCACCTATATTGTATAGGATCCATAATTAGGTTACAATAAAATTTGTATTTCATATGAATACTACCTTATAAATATTGAGATGAAGTAGGTGGGGGGGGCTCTGCACCAGCACAAATAGGTACATAAAAAATATTTTCAAGAGTAATGTCAAAACAACTTAGAAAGCTGAAAGCGCCATTGACAAAAATGTGAAGGTATAAATGGAGTTTGTTGAAAATGAGTGTTTTATCTGGTGTCTGCAAAAGTTCCTAGAACCCATTCTTTTGAAAAATAGACACTGAATTCACAATAGAAGACTGTTTTATTTTGTAATAAAAATTCTGAAAACTTTTGCATATACTTAATATATATTAAGTCTTTCTATTTTTTCCTCAGATTAGGTCATTTGCAGTGGTGTGCAGTAATATGAATGTTTGCTGGGTGTATGATGAAATATGTTTGGCCTTAAAAAATATTGTCGTCAATGATTGCATGAGATTTTCATCATGCCCAGACACTATCGTCTTGACTGTCAATTAGTTGTCCTATGGCTTTTGTCTGTGATGGACATTACTCCAAGGAAGCATATGCAAATTGTAATTCTGC